GGGACTAGGTACTCGGCAAAATTGGCAAAGAGTCTCCCTGCAGCTCCCCATCACCACGAGGTCCAGTCCTGAGCAGAGGAAGGAAGGAAATCAAAGTCCCCGCCCCACCCTGCTTTTTCCCCTGTTCCCTGGGTGGCACAGGCAAGAGCGTCCCCTGCTGATTCGGATGATGTAATGTGAATGAATATTCATTACTGAAGTTTTCCTCAGTTAACTAAACTACAACACGGGGCTAACAGTTTGGAATTAGAGGGTGTGGAAGCCAAACAGCTGGGATCACTTTCTAGGGAAGCAGGCATTGGCAAGATGATTGAAAGAGGGAGATGAATCCTTAGTCTCTGGAAGCAACTGCTGTCAAGCATGAAGGAATGGTATCCCTTCAAGGAAAATGTTATATGTCACCTAGGGAAGTGGACCAAGGTAGAGAAAGGTATCCAGTACCTGAGGGAATTAACTGTGCTGGAGATGAATTATTTTAACTTGAACAACACACATTTACGCACAGATCCAGATGAAGTCCAATGCACAGGATCCATGTGGAGGAAATTTGTGAGGTGTGCACCATTGTCTCACACTATTATAGATTAGATTATCTTGTTGAATTTCCCCATACCAGCCACAGGCAGAGGGAGGGTTGCCCTGCACTGCATGCTGACAGTGCTGCTATCTGGCCACCGCTAAGGTAACGGCCATGGAGGAGCAGGGGGAGATAATGGAGGTTCCTGCGGGAACTGCATGAGAACTGGGGGAATAAAAGATGCAGCAGTTTCCGGTTTCCCTCTCTGCCTGGTGAGCCCCGCCACCCACACAGACCCAGGAAACCCCTGTACCGGCTTCTTCACCCCCCCTATACTGGCATCCCACTGCCACTGCCGCTCTTTGTCTTGGGACAACAGCCGCCAGTGTCTCACTCTTCCACGGAACCCAACAGGTCCCCAATTGGTTGCTGCAGGCATTTCACGCGAGCGGGAAAGAACGACACATCTATAAGATGCAGATTCAAATCCGCTTTATTATCAGAAGGCTACACAATATATATTCTTTTGAGTCCTGGACATGCGATCACGAGCACAGCATGCCATTATGATTGGTTAGCCTACATTGTTCACGCACCTCAGGCAGTCCATCGATTGGTGGTCTTAAAGCACACATTCCTGGGAAACGTTTCTGTTATCACCGTTTTCCTCATATTGCTTTCTGCTGACCTCTGCATTCTTGCAGCCGCAAAACTTGTTCTTGTTTGTCTAACGGTCAACTCCTGGCCTTTTCAGAACTCAGCATATTCGTTTAAAACTGCTAAGGCCCCAACAATTGGTCCTTCCACTTTCTGCCACTTCTCAACAGCAAACTCGCTGCTGCATGGTGCCAGCTGGACCCACAGCACTACTGGAGCCTGACTCATGTGGAGCCTGCTGACTGCCTGAAGCAAGGTACCCACCCCACGTGTCTGCCTCCAGGACAACACCATGTGCCAGTTTTTCTTGCTGGTTTCCTGCCACTCTTGTCTCATGTTGCGGTGCTTAACTAATAAAAAACACCATGAACAAACCGTACTAATAGGCCTCCGTCGGCCTTAGCAAAAAACCTGCTTGCAGGTTGCAGGAAAAGTACTGGCATTGATATCAGGCTGCAAGAATGTAAACTACTGAGATAATAAGGAGGAGTTTTTGGAGAAAGACAATGATTTCATGCCTCATGCACAGCAACCCATACCCAATGATAAGGGGGTTAGAGATACATGTTTGCCTCATGATTTACAACATTTAACCAATGGTTTGAAGGTGTTCACACACTGCAGGGCTCTGAGGGTATTTAAGAGTCTATATTATGTAAATAAAGTGGAACATTTGCTTAAACCATATTGGTTTGTGTGCGTTTGTTCACCATGAGCTCCTCCGCCAACAGTCTCACCTGTGAAAAAACTGTCTGAAAGATGTGAAAAACTGTTTCAGGAGTTCCAGCAACAAAAAGAGGGTATGTCCTCCCCCCCCATCTGTATGGACCTGCATCTCAACTATTAACAATAAGCATTCTTTTGCTCGAGAGGATATGGAGGTATACACCATGGAATACCCTGTGGTTTTAGCTGTGAGACCACAGAGAGAACATGAGGAAGTGGGATGAAAAACTTACCTCCACCCTAGAGCAACGGGTAAGTGAATTGCAGGGAAAAACATTCACAAATGGGGGTTCTTCCAGAAATGTTGCTGCTCCAGTCTCCAGTGGGCAGTTTCCCAGGCAGAGTGGAAGGACTGATTTTATTCCTGATCCTATGGAAAAGAAATTCTAATCCATTTCTACAAGAAGTAAGTGGAATATCCTATTATGAGTATTAGAGGGACCCTGCCTCCATCCAGGTGGAGGAGAGGGACAACTGGATTTACTGAACTGTGAGGAATTGATGGCCAGTCAAATTAGACCCCAAGGAGTATAAGGCTCTAATAGATACCACTGCACAGTGTACCTTAATGGCATCAAGCTCTTATGTGGAATGACTGAGGGAGCTGGGTTTGCTTACTCTTGAAAAGAGGATCACGGGGGACCTCATCACTCTCTGCAACTACTCATAAAGAGATTGTAGTGTGGTGGGGGTTGGTCTCTTCTACCATGCCTACAGTGAGAGGACTAGAGGAAATTGCCTTAAGATGAGACAGGGGAGATGCAGATTAGGGAAAAAATTTTCACTGTTTGGGTGGTCATGCATTGGAATAGGTTGCCCAGGGAGGTGGTGGAAACCATTCCTGGAGGTATTTAAGAGGCATCTGGATCTGGCACTGGGTGATATTGTTTAGTGGTTTAGGGATTCCAGGGTGGACGGTTGGACTTGATCTTAAAGGTCTCTTTCAACCTTGTGATTCTATGATTCTAGGGGTGTAACCCATTTGTATTTCTGGAGTGACAGGGGGATCTCAACAGCTGTCTGTATTAGAGGCTGAAATCAGCCTGACTGGGAATGAGTGGCAAAAGCACCCCATTGAGACTGGCCCAGAGGCTCCATGCATCCTTGACATTGACTGTCTCAGGAAAGGGTATTTCAAAGACCCAAAATGGTACCATTGGGCTTTCAGTATAGCTGCCCTGGAGATGGAGGAAATTAGGCAGTTGCCTGATCTCTCAGAGGACCCTTCTGCTGTGGAGTCGCTGAAGATTGAAGAACAACAGGTGCTTATTGCTACCACAACAGTGCACTGGCAGCAATATTGCACTGAGATTCTGTGATTCCCTCCATAAACCAATTCATCAACTGGAGAGCCAAGAAGTGATCAGCAGGACCTGCTCACCCTTTAACAGCCCCATATGGCCAGTGCAAATGTCTAATGGAGTATGGAGAGTAATAGTAGATTATCATGACCTGAATGAAGCCTTGTTGCCTCTGAGTGCTGCCGTACTGGACATGTTGGAACTTCAATATGAGCTGAAGTCAAAGGCAGCCCAGTGGTGCCACAAATAATATTGCTAATACATTTTTCTCAAACATTTTAGCAACAGCCACAGTTCACTTTCACTTGGGGGGGTGTCCATTATACCTGGAATCAACTGCCCCAGGGAGCCATCAATGATTGCTCGGGGACTGGCAGGGCATAGGTCAGTGGGTGGTGAGCAATTGTATTGTGCATCACTTGCTTCTCTTGGGTTTTATTCTTTCCTCTCTCTCCTTTTAATTAATATTATTATTATATTTTATTTTGTTTCGATTATTAAACTGTTCTTATCTCAACCCATAAAGGTTAATTTTTTTTCCAGTCATCCTCCCCACTGGGTAATGGGGGGCTGTGTGGGTATAGAGTGAGCAAGCTGCTGTGTGGTACTTAGTTGCCAGCTGGGGTTAAACCATGACACAGGATTGTGTGGATTCAATGGCCTGGCACATCAGACCCATGAGAGTATAAGGCTCTGGTGAACACCAATACACAGAGTACTCTAATGCCATTAGAGTACAAGTGGGGCAGAACCCATCTGAATTTCTGGAGCAAAAGGAGACCACAACAGTTGTTTGTGTTGGAGGATACT